TATATATATAAGTATTAATCTGTTATTTATTTTTACACAATAATTATTACTAACTAATCATAAAATCCTAAGTCCAAATCTTTTTTCAAACTATTTATTTAATTTTTTTTTTTCAGCATAAATCAAGTTTTTTATTATCATAAATCTAATAGAATTAAGTATAAAAGTTGTCATTTCTTTAAAACAAAATATAACACTCTTCTTGTTTAATTTTTTAATTTTTTTTTCTCAAACATCAAATTTTATGATTTAAAACTCAAGGTATTCATTCCAAATTTTATAAAGTCTTACAAAATTAACTTATTTGAGACTAAAATTTATTAAAACCCCTCTTAAATTCATATATAGCATCCATCAACTTCAAATAATGCATAAAAAATAAATTTCTCCAATTTACTCGTAATCTCCCCAGGCGGATGGTCACGATGATGCAAGCATATGCGAGCTAAGATAAAATTGGCTGCATTATTTCAGGCTCAGATAACATCACAAAATTAATAAGTCATCTGTTTTTTACAAGTTTACAGACATTTCTTCTCACTGCACTTCAAACAGTTGCTAACAAACCTATTCTATAATCACATACGACATACATATGTGTATTATATCAACCTGATTGTTCGACTTTATTGCGCCTTAATCAAGTCATGCCTCCACTCGTTGCAGTTCGGATGATCTGGAACAGAACTGCGTATGTATGAAGTAAAAGCAATAACTAAGTCAGCAAAATTATATAAAACAGAAGATAGTGGATACAAAGATCTTTGGGTTAATCATAAACTTAACATGTTTCTACTTTACAACATTGTCCAGAAGATAGTGGATACAAAGATCTTTGGGTTAATCATAAACTTAACATGTTTCTACTTTACAACATTGGAGGGACAAATGGGAGTACTTGTAAAATGAGACACAAAATTCAAAGTCATAAAATTAATGCTTCAAAGGACAAAGGGGGTAATTGTAATAATGGAAAATAACAGTTTTTTTGTTCTTCTTTTTCATTTTTTGCGCACGATAAATCTACTGCTTGAAAATTTTAAGCCTTGTGATACCAGCAGCAATTTGCATATGGTCTTGAAAATTGGCTTAAACAAGAACTGAGAGTTCTCAACTGTATAACCTAAACCAATATCAGAGCACCATGTGTTTTCCCTCAAAACCAAAACCAGGCACGCCATTAACGAGCACGTATCCGTAATTTTACATAATTTATGCTAACAATTAAATTAGCAGACACAGAAGGCTTCCATAAGAAGGATTTAATTTAATTTATTTATTTTTTTTCCTTCAACAAACTTAATTACTCATGGAATACCACAATGATGCATTGTAAAAGGCAGTAAAAAAACTCGATTATGCAATGTGGCTGCTATTGCTATAGAGAACGAATATTCAGTTTTTGCAGTGAGAATAACTCACAAGATCCAATGACGACAAATACGAAAAATCCGATCACCAAAGGGCCAACGGGATACGAGCTGCCTTTCTTTTTAGTTGTTTCTCCAATTGCACCTCTTTTCTTTATGTTCTTCTCGAACTTCATAACTTTCCTATCCGCCAAGCGCCTTGAGGTCGTCTAGAGAATATACACAGCATGAAACGGCCATCAGTAAATCAAGAAAGAAGTTAACCAGCCGGATTGAGTTATCAAAACATTCATCCTTAAAACATATCTATCAATTGTTTGTCTTGACAAGGTACAACAATACTACAAGATAAGAACAAGATCAAACAGGCAATCCAGGGTTAATGATTTCGTCTAAGCTCTTTCGGATCAAGAGATCAGAATCCTCTTGAATCAATCGGAATGTCTAAATTACATAAAAACTTTAACTCTTATAGTAAACATCTTGAGCTATTTTTTTCCAACTATAAAAAATTCGAGATCCGCTTGATAATGGAATCACATTAAATCATTTACTCTCTCAAATTCACATTAATATTAAGGCTCAACATGCAAACTTTCGGCTGGTTTACATTAGCCGAAGGCTTGATCGATGATTACAAGAACAACAAATATTTCCTCCAATTCTCTTTCCAATCTTCTGTTAAGAAATGCACACAAATACCAAAATCTCAGCTACTCATTCAATAGCTAACATAACAGAAAACGATGCCCTAATCTGCAGCTAACAACAGTACAGAGATTTCAAGTTCAGATCATAAACATTTATCATCTCACGCACAGATGGAAAAAAAAAAATTTGCAAAGCCAAAAATGAATTAGAAAAGTGAAGCTATACAAATCAAGATCAACCAATTGATTACGACGTTAATTCAAAGGAATATCTTTAAACCCAATTGAAACTAAACAGAAAACAATTAAAAATCCAAAAAGCCGGAGTTGGTATAAGAATCGGCGATGAAGAAATGAAGAGCGAGAGATGTTCTACCATGGTTGGGGGAAGAGAATCGCAGCTGGGAATGTAATATGTGAAGACAGTTTTCTCAATTTGTTCGCCGAGTTTGCGCGTATATGTATGTGGTGTATATATCTATATATATATAATTGCTAGCATGTAGCATTTAATAAAACATTTAATAAAACCTCTAAAATTTTCCCTCCATTTTCGGTTACAAAATTTGTAATTAATTTTTTTTACTTCTCACAATAATACATCTTAATGAGTGTAATTATGTATGTTTCTATTATATTATATAATAGTTATTGCTAATACTAACTAATAATAATTCACAATAATTATAAATTATATAATTATAAATAATTGTTTCAACTTATGTATTTTAACATCAATATTATCTTTTTCTTTTGTATCTCATAAAAATATTCTTTTAAAAATAATTAGTAAATTGTTTTAATAGCATAGTTAAAAAAATTTAAAATCTTATAAACAATTGTATTTTAATAATATATATATATATATAATTGGTAGCTTAGCATTTAATTTTACCTATTTAATATAAAAACGTTAATTTATTTTTTCTAATGATCAAATTTTTTTGAAAATGTAATATGTTAATTATCTAAAATTTTAATATTAAATTTTCAAATATTACTTACTAATATTTTATGTATATTTGTGCATGTGCACAGGATATCTACTAGTTTTAATTAATACTGAAAAAGCTGCGGTTCTGTTACGTACCATTCCTAGTGTATTAAAAAAATATTAGATGAGGGAAGAAAAATATATAAAATATAATAATTATTTTTATTATTCTATATTCGTTCTCTGTGCATTATTTATTTAAGTTGAGACATAAACGTTTAGAATATTTATGGTATGTTAATATACACAAATTTTTATTACTTTATAAGATGATTTAGAAGATGAAAACCCTAGGCTTAAAATACAAAATTTATCCCCTTTCAAGAGCTCAGATCCTTAAACAAGAGATTAGGTAGTGTGTCTCGCGTGAATTTGTGAAGAATTTAAAGTAAAAAGAGCAAATAAATTGAAAATATAGAGAGGGAGATGCAAGAGAGCGAGAGAAACGAGTCGTCTGCGGCGAAAAGTGAAAAAAAGATGAAGAGAGAAAGGGTTAAAGTAGCGTATCGTTTGAGCCAAACAAGTCACATGGTTGTAATCCATAACCACACGAGTCATGTGGCGTAAACCAAAAATGGAGATTTTTTAGATCAACTCAACTCATGTCACTCGCCCACACGATTGGTGTGCAAAAGCCATATCCAATTTTTTTTTTATTTTATTTTTTATTTTTTTTTTTAGTTTCCATGCCGCTCGACTCGTGTCACTTATCTACACGAGTCGTATGGACGTGGACACTTATTTTTTAGAAAAAAAATAATTCTATACAAAGAAGAAATACATGAAAAAATTATACACTAAAAATTGGTTGCCTCCCAATAAGTAATTAATTTAACATATTTAGCTATATGATGTTCCGAGTCTTTCGAGTCACCATTAATTGTTTAAATAGAAATGAAGATCGTCTTGACTTGTTTCGAACTGAAATATGGCTTATTCCGTTGATATTCACCACAATTTTGGTGCCCTCATTTACAGCCAATTACACCACTCCATTGGCCATAATATTCGTGATCATAAACAGTCCTGACCACCTTGACTTAAACTTTCCGAGAAATAACTTGGGTCGTGCATTGAAGAATATAACTCGATCACGTTCAGTAAACTCCCGCTTTCGTTCAATTTGTCATAATATTTCTTCATCTTTTCTTTACAAATACTAGAACTCTCATACGTCTCCATTCGAAACTCGTCCAATTCATTGAGTTGCGACTTCCGTTCGACCCTGGCCTTTTCAAAGTCAAGATTGATCCTTCTCATGGACCAATACGCCTTATGCTCCAATTTCACGGGCAAAAGAAACGACTTTCCAAACACTACTTGGTATGGAGACATACCCAAGGGAGTCTTGTACGTCGTTCGATAAGCCCACAACGCCTCGTTAAGATGATTAGCACAATCGTTACGACTTACAATGACATTTTTTAGCACTCGCTTGATTTGTCGATTTGTAACGTTTCGTATTTTATTAATAAAGGAAAATACTAGCTTTTAGTTTTAAGCTAGCCTTTGTTAATAAATAATCATGTTCATGTTCAAGTTCGAGTTAATCAGCTAGTCATATTCCAAGTTCGACTATTAGTCGATAAATTATTCGGTTTAATTATTTAAGTAACCGAATAAGTTTTCAGATTTAATTCCGATTCGTTTATTTAATTAATAAGTTCGAAATTAATTATTCAGTCAGGAATAGCCTATCAGATAAATAATATAATCATGTTTTAGCTCCGATATAATAACGTTGTCGATTATTATTTTCGGAATTAATTATTTCAGTCAAGACAATTCGAAATTATTTTCAAAGTCATGTTCACGTTCGGATTAATTTTTGTATTTAAGTACCAAGTTAATCAAATAAATCATGAGTTATCAAATAAGCATGTTATTGTGCTTAATTAATTCTCTAAGCACGTTTAAACCATAAAAGCCAAATCATGTCCAATATTTTCCCAAAAAGCCGTGAGCAAAAGAATGTTGGGAAAATTTTTACCAATTCATGAAACACTTATTTCTCATCATTTACTTAGCATGATGTGTCTTCTTCCTAAGCTCCCAACTTATGACTAAGCATTATTAAGGATGACTAAGCTAATTTGGCTCACAATTAAGCCATGTGTATGACATTTGGAGAGTTATTATTTGCCTAAATTTTCCAAACACCTCTTCATGTTTTCGGTTAGCATAAATATATGTTAAGTATTGGGAGAGTTTTCCTCACTTCAACATATACACTTCCTCATAAATTAGCTAATTGAGTAAGGAGAGTGAGGGCTTAGAGAAAGCACCGCACACAAGTCACGCTCAAGCGCACGGCAAGCGCACGCATCGCACGGAGAGGCCGATCGCAAGCACCGAAGCTCAATTCGGCCGACCGTTTGCAAAGGTAACATCACCTTCCATGTAAATACTGGTTGATAGGACCAGTTTAGATGTACCAAGTGCAGTTCATGGCCATTACTTCATGTAAGGTTAAGTCATGTTCGGTTTTTGGTGCTTACTAAGTCGTGACCGAACAATATCCATTTTTATCCGACAACTCCCGTACAATTCATGTCTAATTGACCATTTTATGTCATTTTATAATCTTTCAGTCCATGTTGGCCGAAAGTTTTTCTAAGTCGGTCGAGTGTTTGGCATAAGGCCAAAGACCGCGCACGGTGCGCGTGTCACGGCTAATTCATGTTAAGTTGAGTATTGTCGGATAAATCAGATAAAATAGCTCATGTCATGATAAGTTAAGGTATATTATGTTACATCATGCTTCAGTTGTCGAGAAAAATTCTGGTTCGGTCGATATAAATGATTAAAAGGCCGTAGGCTGCGCACGGGCGCACATCATCGTTCATGTGAGGTCTTTGAACACAAGGCATGATTTTATGTAAACTCAATCAAATTGGTTATGTTATGATTAGTCATGTTAAATCATGTAGTAGTTGCCGGAGAAATCGCCGGACGGCCGACGAGGGTCTGTCGTACTTGCGCTGTCCACACGTAGCGGCCGCAGCGTACCAGTGGTGCGCGGGTGCGCGGGTGATACGCGGTAGAGCGCCGTGTAAGGCCCGTACTCGCAGCAGGTAGCTGTTGGCGATGCGTGTGCGCACGCCAACACCCAGTTATGCACGCC